TCGCGGTGGATCTTGACTCTTCATTAGCCGTGGCTACTAGATCCACCGTCAGAGGGCACCGACCATCCTTCCTTCATAGGATCCACACTCGATCCACTCTTGTATAGTATATCCCATATCCATCTTAGTGAATCCAGGTAAGGGTGGATCCGAGGTAAGTCTTGGTGGATCTTGCCTTCTCGTACATCGCTCATATCAGATCCATCGTCATTCCATACGGGGTGCTGCTCGCCATGGCTAATCCACCACAGGCAACTTGCACCCGTGCCAAACAACCCAAATCCTCTATAATCACTTGAAATTGTCACTGATTCGGGATAGTGACCCCGCGTCAGGACCATTCTCTTATTTCTGAGAAAGCACTTCACCACACACTCACCGATTCCCCATCTCTCGTAACCAACTGCAGGGCTCGACTTGGTTGTCCAACCTCAACAAGCAGCGTGGTAACCGACGTAGCCATGCTGGTCGCGCGTGGAAGAAAGATGTCGTGATCCTCGTGTTGGCGATCCAGGACGGTTGGTGTGACGTCGATGTTTTTGTGGTGTTGGAAATCCCACGTGAACTCTAGCTACAGATGTAGTTAGGATGTTCCCACAACAATACGTCTACTAGGATAGTAAACGATCGTTCGGGCGGACCTGAAGACCCCAGTTCTGCCCTTGCACCGGGACAAACTGGACCTTGTAAACTACTTATATAGGCCAACCAGTAAAATAAGAACACGCTACTAGCACGAGCAAAGCTAGCAGGTGTTTTGAATCCTCGTGGTCCCAACAGCGGAAGGGTACCAGGCACGGGTAAGCCTTTTACGAGATCACCGAGTGTTCAACACTCGGCCAGAAGAAATAAAAGGGAGGCAATTCAAGCACTCCCAGTCGTGCAAATAGGCAACAATAAGCCGTCACGTAAAACCTCCCGATAATAATCGGCCAATACACAAAGTCTCTTGGCCTTACCGGATGAACCCTCGCTACAGAGCTTCGAGTTCACCGACAGGCATAACACACTCAAACAAGCTTGACCTGACGCTTACCTTGAAGCCGGACGTCGCTCTGTGTGCTTGAGTGGAAATTCTGTTCTGTATTTAAGCTTACCCTTTCGGGTCTATTCCTAATAAGAAGTCCTAATCAAGTATACAAATATCAAGTGAACAATGATCCGTTATGGATCTTCTTGCATGCCAAGCGTCGTCTGCACTGTCGCATGAGCATCTTTAACGGTCCGCGCCCTGTCCCAGACGGTGAACGTGTCTTCCAAAGGTCGCTGAGTATTCCGCGAACTCATCCCAACCGCCACTGAGGGTTTGTACCGTAGATGGTCCGCTGAATGCGAATCCGGCCAGTCCATTATTAATAATAAGGACAGCCTGGATTCAGTGACATAGGGCCGTATCTCGATACCTGTTGAAAACTCGGAGGTGACGCCGTCGAGTCCCTTGCACCTTGGCGTCTCCGTACACTCACCCGATCGAGGGTTCGTCGCTTGAACAACTTGGGCGGTGTCACGTCTTTGTCGACGGGTGATAATCCGCAACCACGGAGAAATCACTACACCACATCTTCGTCACTTCGCCGATGAACAACTTTTCTTGTAGCGTTTGATAGTACATCATAGACGCAATACACTCATCGACAGCCATGAAAGAATCCACCCACGCTTTTAATTGCTTCCATGAGGCTTCCAGCCTGTTGTTTGTGTTATTTCCGAGTGTAATCGTATTTTGGCGCTTGTACGCACACCACATCTCACGGCAATTGTCCCAATTCCGGCGGAAATACGCCACAAATGGATGTTCTTCGTCGCATCGAACGGGTTCTCTCGCTGGCGTTTGGTCTGTACTCGATTTCGCATGCCCGACTGCACCAGACTCACTCCCGACTGCACCAGACTCACCCCCGACTGTACCAGACTCACCCCCGACTGACCCCGATTGAGTTCGGTTCACTCCCAGTTGGCTCCGGCACATTAGACGCTGGGACGTAATAGCCAATTGACGCGAGGTGGACCATGTACCGCAAATGCTTCTCGTATTCTGCTTCAGTCTTTGCGTACACCAGTAAACTCATCGCACCTCCAAGTTTCTCCTTCTGGGTCTTCGAAAATCCATAGTCAGCCGAGGCAATTTCTTCACGTAGGTATTTCAGTACGTGAAATTGGCAGAGCAAAATAGTCACTCCAGAAAAAGCTTCTTTCAATACTGAGATCTCCGTGAAATCCTTATCCACAAGAACACACTGCAGCCTTTTCCACGCTGGATTATTAACTTTGAATTCCTCCAGCGCCGTCAGTAATGTAGTGTACCGCTCGTTTTGAAGCAAAGCGTGCTGGACGAACTGCCCCTTACCAAACGTGTCATGAGCCATAAACGAAAAGACCTTGTACTTAGACCGATTCGTTCCGTGGGTGGC